GCTACACTTACATATTAAAACACAACTTATTTGGCAAATAAATTATCAGAACTTTTTAACATTTTGTTATGATTTTTCTTTTTAAATCTAAGATTTGAAAATTTAATACAAGATTCCTCATAAGTTTGTCTATCTTTATCAAAAAAAAAATATCTATTGGAAAGCAAAATTAAATTTTTTTGAGCATTTGAAGTTCATATTTTTATTTTAATTGGATATTCACCCAATTTTTCATCTAATGATTTTCTTATTTTGTTGCAATTCAAAAACGAATAACTGTAATTACATGCAAAATTCACTGAATGTTTATATTTTCTATACACCATAAAGTTTTGAAAATATTTTGACTCATTTTCAGATGTTTACGGACATTTTCAATTTACAATTTTCTATATATTTTTTATTTTCTAGTACTTGGTAGTTTTTTTTATAAATGTCAATAAAATGTTATTTGTTGGGTCAAAAAGCTTGAAAATAATGTAATACAAGGCTCCTGATATATTGATACGATGGCAGTTGAAAAATATTTAAAATACTTAGGTATTTACAGTTTTTTTTCTATAAATATTTAAAGTTCAAATTTTGATAAAATTGATCAAATTTAAAGTTAAAAAATGATTTTGTAGGTAAACATTTTTGAAATATTAAACTTTTATCAGTAAGGATTGAAAATTTAAAACAAGGTTCCACATAAATAAGTTAATACATATATTATATTATTGACAATAGTCAATAATATATCATCGAATATACTTGGTAATATATCATAAGCTGACTAAATGTCTTCGCCCAGAATCATTTTTCGTATACAATGATAATATTATACCATTGAATTCAAATTTACCACCATCTATTACAGTGACCCACTTGTAACCTACTGTACAGCAGAACGACACCCACTTACCACCTGTTTTTCTCTTCAATGTTGTTGGGGAATTGGAGATGTTTCATAACAAATAGCAATGGTCCAAGAATAGCATACGTGGAACATTAAACTTTGGTGTTAATTCTTTTGTGTATGTATTAAATAGAGCTATAGGCATAATAAGTAAAATATAATTAAATTGAGTTTTATTTAAATCACAAGAAAATTTCTTATTTGTAACTTACCTACTAATAACTCTACCTACTAATAACTTTGTCGTTGTTTGATTCATCAGGTGTAGGTAAATGATTATATGCTTTTATTTGTGCACTGGAAAAAAGAGGTAAACCTATTTATTTGTTCTTTAATTTCTACCAATTTATATTCATAGCTTTGATTCAATTAAATTTTTCTTTGTAACATACAGCTATCACACAATTTCTTTTAATATTTCGTACAATTTTGATTGTTAGAAAAATAAAATTGTATGTTTGTAAGTTCTAAAATGTTTTATTGAATGCTTTTTTGACTAGTTGACTTAATGTTTCATACAATTTAAAACTAGATACCTATTGTGTTTGAGTGATATTTTTCATGAGAATTACTATTAAGTCATTATTATTGTTTACAATTTTGAGGTAGAAATACGAAGGTCAACTAGCTAAAGAATAAAAAGTTAAGATTATTAAATTGACTTGAGAAAACGTTAGTGAAGGGTATCCTAATTGCACAGGTGCCATTAACAGTATCACACATTCACAAAAACCATTATGGATTAGTATTTCATTGTATATTTACTAATTTACTGTTTAATGTTCCTTTTATTTAGTAAACACCGAGTGCAAAAACGTATTAAATTTGACAAATATTCAGTGAACTGCTGCAGTATTTTGTATTCGATTTATTGCACTGACAATAATCGAGTGTACTCGGTGCGCACTTTCTGCACCTCCGATTTTGTCAGTGTAATGCATAGTGCATAGACGATAGACCTATAGAGTATAGGCTATAAACTAATGGACAGTGCATAGAGACAGAAATTATCAGACGGGATTGTTGAGAAAGAAAAGAGAGGTTTTGGACCGCTACAGTGTGCTAAAACATATAGCCCAAAACTTGTTTTTCTCTCTCATATGCTCATATGTTATGTTTTCTCTCTCAGTTATGTCTTATGGATCCAATGTCCAGTCGGTGTGGGAAGCGCTGTCCATTAGTTTATAGGTATAGGTGCGTCGGTGCAATGGGTGCATTTTATAAATATGAACCGTTTTACTCGAGACACATCCATAAATTATCTAATTTCCTATTTATCATATTATTGGCGATTGAAATTGATAAGCGGTAGCCCAGCGTGACGCGACTTTTTTGTCGTGTAAATCACGAGACACGAACTACTACATGTAGTAGGTAGTTCGTGGTGTAAATATTATAACTTGATAAGAACTTTTGTCGCCGCTATATAATTAATTCCCCTCTCCCAAGAAGAGTCTCCACCCTCCTCCCATACTTGATCGTATAATATTTAAATATTACGGTTCCCTATCTCCGTCGTTTTCCAGATAATAACAAACCGCTGAAAAAGACAAATTCCGAAGAGCTAACTCCACAAACGAGTTTTTCTAGTTATTTTTTTTTTTGCCCTTCTTCCTCCTCTTAATGGTCAATTCTATCTCTGTCATTAATTTTCACGTACCTGTAGCTAGTCGTATTTACCAGCGCTCTAGTTTGTCTGTCCGAGTGATGTGAGGACGTAATTACAAATATTTTTTCACGACGAGACAGGTTTTTCTTTTTCGTATCAGTAATTCATTCGGATTTTTCCAGTTTCCACTACAAACACTATCCCGATTACTCACTCAGGTAATTAGGTTTTATTTGATATACCTAACACATTAATGTTATCTGATATTTGTGTATCTTAAGATTGACTTTAAATACTAAATAAAAACTCGTTAACTTTGCTTTTTGCACTAATTTACTTGTGTCTTGTGTTATGGTGTGGCAAGCCATTAACAGTTTTTAATTAATTTGTATTGTGTGCATGATGCTTAGGTCAACAGTTTCCAACAATCGCCTGACTTATGGCATAATCGTCAAATTATTACCATCACTATTAAACATGTACCGTCATGTTATTGTTATTGCCGCTGTTTTAAGTAATATGATTTTATGCATGTGTCCTTGCTTTCAACTGCGCCTATGACAGATGCTATTATGTAGCCAAAGTACACTTGGTGCAATTCATCACAGATGTTTCTTTTGCTTATGATTTAGTGTTTATTGAATCATTATAGTAAAACATAAGTGAATCTCTGAAAAAATCATTTTGTTATTCTATTCATATTATTTCATGATAGGTATATTACTTACTAGAAGTCTAGAACTTCCATTAAGTTATCACCAAGATTCGAATTTGCATATTTTTTAGGTTTAAGAACATTTAAATGCACATTTCAAGAATTTAACAAACACAAATTTTTTTTTTTAAATTTTTAGTTCAACAAAAAAATATTAGATATATGACAACCAATTAATTCAAAAAATGATTCACGTGACATGCGCATGGTCTGCATTGGACTTCTGAAGAGGTACGTGGACAATTTAGAGCTATCTCTAAAATTGTATCGAATGTTAAACATATTTTATACAGTGCCATCTCGTACATTAAACATATACATATTATGTTTCTTCAATAAATTACAATTTGTCAAATTTTTACTATATGTTTTTTTAACGCAAACGTGAGTGCATATTTGAGTACTTTTTAGCACATACATTTCCTAGCCTTGGTTATCACTTAAACGCCTGCTGTTTGCAAGTTTATCTTTATTTTGCAACTTTAAATGTAATTTTAACTCTTATTGTATTATTTTCTACAAAAATACTTGGTATAATTAGGTACCTATATATACTATCTATAGATATAAGTATAACTTATTGTTTTTCAAACATGAATGGTGAACAGTTACTTATATTAATAACTTATTTGCATGTGTTTGCTATAAAAATATAATATTATATTTGTGACATTATATTTATTCTGTATTTATGTGACTTTACTATTATAATATCTTAAGAATTAATATTTTTTTGTCTAACAAAGTAATTTAGTAACTTACTACTTAATTTATATATGAGGTATCTATCTATAATGTATAGATAATATAATATTATATAATATTAGATAATTAACTCAAATAATTCCTTTTTAATTATATGAAATTCAATAATTTGTTTAAAAATCACTCAACTTAATATATAAGTTATAATACCTTATTCCTTATGCCTTATTTATTTTATTATAGGTAGTTGGATGATAAATAATTATAAACTAATTATTCTGCATTAGGTGCAGCAATTACTTCTTTAATTTACAATTTGTATACATAGTGTTCATAATTTTACTTGTATTTAAACTATAATTTGAAACCTTTCAAAGTAAAAATATTTTTAAAATTGCTTGAATAGTTGGGTAGTATAATTTATTATATATCTATAATCATATCTTAATAATCAAATAAATCTTTATTTGTATACCTACAGAATTTATGATTTTAATTTTATACAATTTATTTCAAAAAAATGAATTAAATTAATGTAATGTAATTTTACTATATTGAAATTAATTTCCCACTAACAATTAAAAAATTAATTAAAATAAATATAGGTACAATAATCCAATACCTAATAATAATAATAATAATAATTTCTAACAATAAAAATATAGTTTTAATGAGTAATAACTAATAACTTAAAAATGAATTATAGGTGACTAACTGTTGGCTAACTGTTTACTGGTAGTAAACTAATTAATTAAATTAATCACAATGTGATTTTATTAATACTTTTAAAACTTCAATTGAAATATAGAATTAAAAACAAATGTTAAATAGAATTTTTAATCTAATTGACATAGCTCTTAAAACATTTGTGCCTTTTGCCTATTATATAAATACCTATGTTTGATAAAAATTATATTTTTACCGACTTTATACTTATAAATTATAAACATAAGTATACATTGTATACCTAATTCAATATTTTTTAATTGATAATATTGTCACAAAATACCTTTAAGTAGTTATTCATTTTTATTTATACAGTCTTCACTATGAAAAATATTTGTTTTTGTAGAATGAAAGAGCGTTGTTTGGCTGGTAACGTAGCTCTTGGCTTGAACGCATTGGCTTTAGTGTTAGTGTTCATTTCATTTTTTTCGGCCAGTTGGATAGTCAGCGATGAACGAATCACAGGTATTTATTTTTTTTAACCTATTTTTTTAATGTTTCGTTTTGTTATATTTTTTTAACTTTAATTTAGGTGCAAAATTAGAAAGATTTGGATTGTGGACTCATTGTTTTCGCTCACTACCTGACCCTAATGACCCTGCAGAGCAAAGATTTTTTGTTGGATGCCACTGGGTGTTTGACCCTTTCACCAAGGGATATGATGAAATCAAAGGATTTTTGTTACCACGTAATTAAATTAATATTGTACAGTTTCTCAACATTTTAAATTCTTCAATTTGTATTTTTTTAGCTTTCATAGTGGCAACTCAGATTTTGTACACAATTACATTCCTAGGAACATTGGCATCTGCTGTTGGCTCATCAATGTTTTTTCTATGTCGTACACCTGAAAAAAAAAGTTTTAATCAAATAACTCAAGCATTGGGAGTTACATTGGTTGTATCTGGTATATTCAATGTTTATATATTGTTATAAGTATTCATATTTTGTTACTATACAAACATATTTGTATTTCATTATAGGTGTATGTGCCGCAATGTCAGTGTTCATATTTGTTTTGTTTGCCAACCGCCCTGGTTGGATGCCTGGCCACGACAACAACTTCTTTGGTTGGACATTTGGTGTGGCTATTGCAAGTTTCTTTGCTTTACTTGGATCTGGAGCATTTTATTTGGTAGAAACAAATACACAATTGAAGAAAATAAAATATTTGAAAGAATCTCAAACTAAATTTGACATTGAGTTCACAAAATAAGATGAAATTTATTTTTCAATTTTAATTTAAAATATTTTCAATTTAGACCATTAAGATATGTTTTTGATAGTAACCGATCAGTATTAAATTATACTATTTTCAAAATCTGGAACAGTTATTTTTATGAAACTAATATTCACATTTTTGTTTAAATGGACTCTTATTATCAATATTATTTCAAATTATTTAAATCTTAATTTAATTAAATGGGAGTAAATACAATTTTGAAACTTTTAAAAAAACGTGGTTATTTAAAACGAGTATTATTGCAATAATATTAGTTATATCAGTATTATGTGTACACTTAATTTAGTCTTATATTTAAATTTCTTACATCTGTATTGAATAAATGTTAAAAATAAAATAAGTATTGTTATTTTAAGATATTATATTACCTATATAATTACATTTATTTTTCCCTTTTAAGCCAGTCTGTATTTAATGTAGTTGAATAATTATATTATTAAAATATTTAGTTTTAAGGACATCCTGTGCTACAGAATAAAGAATCTTTATTCATCATTGTAAGGGATGAGCAACATTCATTTTCATTTTTCTTACGCAGTCTAATTTTCTACAATTTATATTTGATTGATATTTTTTTAGTTTATTTTATTTTATCCTAGAAACTAGATATATTGACATTTTATGAAACCAGTACTATATTAGTTAATATCATATAATTACACATTGATTTCAAATTAAGTATTCTTTACCATCATTGCTTATCAGAAATATTTATATAATTTTTTTTAAAGAATACCTATTGTGAATAATACTGTTATTTTCAAGCAATATAACATGGAAATAATTTAGCTCATACTAATAACTAATAAGTATAGTAATAACTACAACATTGACAAAAAATAATTGAGAAATTTCTATAAGCTATTTAAACTTTAATATTTGATGATGATTTAATTGTTTTATGATAAATTTTTCAAAACTATATTTTTAGTGATTTGTTTATCAAAAACTTGCTAACTTTGCTTTATTAGTACCTATTTAACCCAATATTATGTTGTAATTTCCTCAAACCATTGAAATTATTAATTATTTTTGTCTCTGCCTAGTAACTAGAATAATTAATATCATATTATACAGTATTAATCTAATATTGTAATTCTATTAAATTTACTTTTTGCCATTTTTATTATTGTATAACATTTATTGTTAATGTTGGTAATAATTCTTTAAGAGCTTAAATTGATTATAAGAAGTTGTAAATATATTATTGTTAGGTTATTAAGAGGACGCTACACCCGCATGTGTTGTCTCCGTCTTACACACGTACGACATAGACAAAACGCGTTTAGGCAGTCTGAGTATAACTCGCTCAATTTTGGTTCTAGAGTAAAAATGCCTATTATGAAATTGAATTGTGATAATATTTCTAAGGGCAAGACGCTGCGGTTTTTCCATTATACCCAATATAACGTTCATTATATCGTTTAGAAATAGAAAAAATTTCACCATTTTTAAAATACCTTTGACTTAAAAAATTAAATTTTTTAAAAAAACCGCAGCGTCTTGCCCTTAGAAATATTATCACAATTCAATTTCATAATAAGCATTTTTACTCTAGAACCAAAATTGAGCGAGTTATACTCAGACTGCCTAAACGCGTTTTGTCTATGTCGTACGTGTGTATGACGGAGACAACACATGCGGGTGTAGCGTCCTCTTAATAATAATTTAAATTTATGAACTGTATTAACAAAAACTGCCTTTTGTTTATAAATATATTTATATTAAATTTATTAGCTTTTTAATTTTGGTTAGTGTAACATTTATACTTAAAACATAATTAAGTGTATACATCTGGAACAAGACTACTTTTATAAATCATTTCCCCAAACAACAACTTATGAGTAACCTTGTATTACATTTTCAAGTTGTTAACTTAATTAATCAAACCAGTTTTTATTAAAAATTATAAAAAAAAAAAAAACCAAAACTCTATGAAGCCTACAAATAGCTCTACAAAAGTAAAAAATGGTAATGTAATTATATAAACATTAGATGAAATTTTATTGTGTCTACGGTTTATTTTTTAGAGTTCACCATAAAACATTTTTAAAAAAGACTGATTTTGGGTATAATTCTCAATTTTTCCTAAATTTTTTTTTCTCGATGCTTTTGAAAATTACCAAGAATTTTTACTTTTGACTTCTTAAAGTACTGACCAGATTCACTTTCCTACCAGAAAAGGATCTAAAGTAGAAAATTGAAGCATTCTGAAATAATAATATAAGAAAAAAAAATATATAATTACCTATATAATTATATAATTTTATAAAAATAATAATATGTATTTATTTATTTTATTTTTAATTAATTTAATTTCATATATATATGAATACTATGCCCCACTGAGATGACTCGTGTGGGGGCCCATTTTTAAGTATTTCAAGTTCATATTTTGACAAAGTTTATTAAAATCTCGTAAGTTTGCAATTGTTTTGTAGTTAAAAACGTGTTGATTTTTATAGGTAAGTTTTTGAAAATTTAAAACAAAGTCTTTTATAAGTAGTTTATATTGTAACCAAAAAATCTAAAAAAATATATTGACAGTTTATTTTATAGATATTTTAAGTTTAAATTTGGATGGAATTAGATATTTAAATGGAGATAAATTATTATAATGATTTTGTTGTAATTTAAATATTATATCATTGGTGGGTGCTCAGGGCCGCATTTAGAATTGAACAAATAAAATTTTCCGCCCCCTTCTTTAATTTTTTTAATTTCTTTGATATACTAGCTTTGATTTGTTTTTGTAAATATATTATATGGTACATGGTCAAAACTTAATAATATTATTAATTTGACAAATCAGTTGTTGTCACTACAAAATTGTCATTAATTATAAATAGTATGTTTTTGTTGTATTGACAATAATATAATATAATATTGTTTTATTGATTTGATAATTATTTTGTTATTAAATTTTTACAATATCAATGATTATCAATTTGACAAAAAAAATTGTTGGACCTATATCTACAAGATTATTGTCAAACACACATATAATTTTATCATCATGAACATGGTTTTTTTTCGGTGTATCTACCCTTAGTTTTTGGTTGCATAGTTGAAATTCAAGTATTTAACCCTCAGTTAGGTGTTACTTAAATATTGTTTTTCCTCAAAACATGATACAAAAGTACATGCCTATTGTGGATTTTATATTTTTATCCCATCGCATCATAATCAAAGCGAATCAATTATTGTAACGTCATAAAATGGATATTAAAAAACATATTCTTATTTATTTTAGGTGTAAAACAATTTGTATACATTAGATACCTATATCTTAAGATAATATGAGATAATCAAGTATTCTGATGTTTACTACGTAAGTCACTGCGCGTCTGTTGGTTGTTTACTCGAATCCGTATAGCAGCCAACTTTTTATTAATGTTTTCCATCCACTGGCGGTGGTAGCCGGTCGCGAATGGTACTGGATCTGCGACCTCGGCTACGGACGAGTTAAATGGACTTTCCACCACTACCATCGCAGTTGGTTTCCACTTTTCCGGCACAACCCTAACAAACAGCCCAGTGTCGGCGAACGAGTTTTTCTCATAGTCTACCGTGACTGTTAATAAGAACGATGTTAATATTACAATTTACAGTATTCTGTTTTGTTTAGCTTATTATCTAATTTAAAATGTCGTGACTCGTGGAACGACCTCGTTGGAGTCTAAGTGTCTTAGGAGGACATTCAGTCCGAAATGTTGTGGACCAATATTACAGTACCTAAACCTATTAGAAATGTATACCTAATACGACAATGTTATTATTTATTTTATTACAATGGACCAACGCAAATAAAACGTATCGGCCACTACTTGTGATCCGTGTACAAGCGTACCTATAAGAACATATACCTATACGGCTTGATTATTGATAAACAGATAAATATGATACTCACGAAGTCACGTACCTATGAGATAAATGGTTAAGTAATAGAATATAATAGTTATCCAGTGTAAAATTTTAAAAAAATAGTATAGATTACCCTAATACTACCTCAGCAGTGGTGGCTCTACGGTTTGATTTTTTTTGGGGGTCTTGGGAATGAACATCACACATTCAAATGGTTCAAAATCAGTGACAAAATCATACAACCCACATTAGCCATTAATCTTAGGTATTAATTACTTTATTGTGACAATTATAAAAATAAATGTACATATAAATAGTTATTAACCTTAGAGCACCTATCAGACTAATTTTTTATATTTATTAAACTTACAAGACGTGTTTTAATTTTGAAAGTAATAAGACGTGTATATAATTACTATGGATTATCCAAAATCGCACATACACAATTTAAAAAGAAAAAAAATCTCAAAACAAGAACAACTACAAATTACAATTTAAATATTAAATCGAATTTTAGCACTTTTCCTAACGAGGTGGCTGAGTTGCACTTAAAGCACGTGGATTGCCAAATTGATATGCTGTGGCACATTGTCCATGATCTGACGTAATGCCTACCAGAAAGGCTGAGTTGTACTTACTGCAGCGAGTTACATCTAAAAGGACTTACAATTTTTTTAAGAGTATCGTCATTTTTTACGGGCTACGAAGTTCACAAGATCAGCTAGTACTAATATAATAAAACATTATATTCCATGATAATAATAATATAATAATATTATATTTAAATCAATTGTATAGTAAGTAGGTACCTTATATTTACCTGTTATTTATTTTTTTTTTTACAAATTGGTACCTATTATAATACAGGCACCTGGCACAGCACTACCTACTCAAATAGCTTATGAATTACGACACATACGGAAAAAAATGATATACCTTTCACGATATCACCAAGGAGCATAGGGACCAAGTTGGCGATTACGCTCGTCGACGGGTTCAGTCCGGGAATAGAATTTATCTCGATCAAATAAGGGATAAAGTTGTCTGTGATCAAGAAATCAGCTCCGAACAATTGAAAAGTTTTTTCGCGGTACAACGAAGAGTCCTTAGAAGCCTGCAACACGGCGTAAATACTCTCGCTCATTCCGGGAAATATCAATTCATCCCATACGTATTCTTGACCAATTTTTCTGAAACATGAAATCGTACGACTTCGGTTACACGGATTTACCAACACAATTTAAATATAGGTATTATAATAGGTACTTAAGTCATTTCATTATGTGCACGGACAGATGATTATTCATTATAATACAATACCTATGGGTTATTAATAATTAGGCTATAGAGACTCTAGCCGCAAGAGACTGCATGGCCTAAGTATGTATATTTATACACTTTACTAAAAAGTAAGTAGTTTTATGCACTATTAAAAATGTATCAAACAAAAATAAAAACTGAAATTGCATTCACTTATTTCTGTAGTTTCCTATTTATCATTAGTCATTAATAAAGCAGGATACACGCATAGAAATATCCGCGGTAATTTAACAACAAATCGGAGGGTCAATAATGATATGTTGAATTAAGTGTCTTTACAATTAAATTAACTTTTAATCGGTGGTAATTTTAAACATTAGCGGCGTAACAATAAACAGTATTTGGTATAATACATTGAATATTGATTTAAAACTAAGTTGGATTCAGTTTAATATTAAATTAACGTTAATCCAAACTAGGTTAATGAATTTTATAGAATTGCTGGTTATTTTCAACTTAACTCAACACTGGAGTTGTTTTGACACCCGAATTATTTAAATTTAATTACACGGAACGGTGTAAAAACCCAACATCGAGCGTCATTACAACCGCCGAGGAGCGTTGAGTAAACATTATTTCATAGTGAAATTCTATGAACACTAACCTCTCATTTCTATTGCGACTGTGGTGTGTTCATAAGTCAATACACGTGTCTGTTTTAAACAATTTTTTTATTGTAATATAATATATTGTAAATTCAAATTTGTTGTTAATTGCTAGTTACTACATAATATATAAAAATTAAAGGTGTATAATATTAGTTGTTAAGATGTATTATACAGATAATAGTTTCAATACAACGGACGTATATCTGAAGTTGTCAAAGTAAGTAGGTACCTACCTATTTGTTTTATTCAAAAATGTTGCATTGAAAAGCATAAAATGTTAGAATCATTTTAGGATTGTTTTATTAATGAAGATTATTTTAAAAGCACAGATAGTATTGAACCTACCTTTTTAGTACCAAACCTACAGGTTCGAAGTGCCTCATAAAGAAAATCCTCAGGATATAACTGATGTCAATGATCCAAGTAAATATTACTTAACCCTAAACCGTTCGAGTCCATATACATCGTCCAAGTCTTCACCTTCAACCTCGACACCAAATAATCAAAAGTATGGAAAATATAAACCAATGGAATGGGCTATTGAGGTATTTTAATAAAAATAACTGTTGTGTGATACAGAGCTTAATATTTTATAAAATAATTTTGTTTTCTAGACAATTTTAGAACTTTTACATACATCCAATGATGGTCGTTTCGTTTTAGCCGACTCAAAAACAAATAATGGCTCTTTATCCGATGATGGTCAAAATACCCTAACAAAACTACTTATTAATTTTCTATTCAAAGATAATAGCAAGTAAGTGATATATTTTCTTGATCTAACATAAATGGTGCACACTTGTTTTAAAAGTTTGTTTTACATATTTAAAATCTGATTTGATAGTTAGGTATGAAATATCATTCTTAATAAATCAACTCTTAAAATATTAAAAAATTTGGTTAGTTGTATGAATGTCATAACAGATTACAATAATATATTTTAAAACATGCAATATATGACATTCACCCCTGTGTGGCTTTGACACACGGTCAAAAAATAAACAAAGCTATAACATATCTATAGATATTAGATACGCATGTACCTACTAGTCGGGTGCTCTTTACGACCGACGTTCGAAAATGTTATTTGTGTGAGCGGTACTCTCATATAGTAATATATTTATTATTGTTATTGATTTATTATTATAGTATAATATTGCCTATATTTATTTGTATTATATTTTTATAACGAATATATTATAATATATTAATGAGTTAGGTATAGTGTTGTACATTATAATTTATATAGACCATCTCAGCTTAAAATCGTCATTCCTGAATCGTGTTTATAATATATATATATATATGTTTTTTTTGAAATATTTGAAAATAAATGAAATACCAATTCCAAAATGTAAGCAAAATATGCAAAAAATATGTCTAGTAGGTACTAATTACTATATGAATCTAATTTCTTTAGCACAAAGCTATATGTTTTGAATGATTACCACAAAGACCAAACCTTTTTTCATTTTTACGGTAACAAAAATTTAGTTGTTGGCGGAAACGATGCACACTCAATGACAGGAATAGTAAATGTTTGGAACTATGGAAGATTATTTTACGCACCCAAATATCAACAATTCATCTTTATTCTATTATTAAATGACCACAGAAAAATAAAAAAATGTTTTATTTTTCACTTAAACGGACAATTATAATTACAATAATTATTGTACGCATCAATATTTATTCTAATTTTCATACTGAAATAATATTTAACCACAGTGTATTTTTAAAATTATTTTAGTTGTTTTAATTTTTTTGGCTTTTTAGTTTTGATAACTTTAAGCCTCATTTATTACAATTCAAAATGTTGCTCGTCATTCTCACCATATTAATTTATATGGTGAGTTTCAATATTATATTTTAAGAATTAAAATCGGTATAAGCTGTACGGAGTACATAGGTACCTACTGTTCGAATTAGAATGAAAACGTTTTGAATAAAATTACTACGGTCTCTAGGCGCCTTAAAACTATTTTTTACGGTGTCTTACTGTCTTTCACTAGTTATACCTCAAATGATTTTGTAGTTGTCTGTAATCCCACATGCACTCTTCGGGTACTCGTGGATTTCTATATTTTCTATATTTCATTTGCAGTCTAACATTGCTGAGATGAATGGATTCGTGCTTGTTTTTCATGGAGAAACTGTTTGCACAAAAACGGACGTAACCTTCTCTGTAAAAAAAATGGTTATCTAAACATTCTTTATGATAACCGTTGCTTTGACTATTGATAATTGAATCGATCTATATTCTATATTATGATATATTTTGCAACTAACATATAGTCGTCACATGTCAAAACACCATTTCAACATAGAATACGTAATCAAACTTTGAATACTAACTTGTACATCCACACAACTACAGGATTCATATTAGTCACTAAAAACCATTGTCGCAAATCAATTTTACACGTATTAATCAAAAGAGGTCTCTCTAGAAATAAAAATGTTGGTTTGGTGTTATGCATCTATTTTGAAATTCAGACGGATTGTTCTTACCTATATATTTCTGTAGAATATAATTATTGTTTAATACACCGGCTTCAGTGATTTTGTGTTTTATCGTATGCAAGTCTCTAGACAACATAATGCCGTGACCAGAACAGTTTGAAGTAGGTTTTAAAATCCATGTGTTAGTTATCCCGTCAATATAGTGTTGGGGACAATAAGTTTTCACTTTTTCCAGTAAATATTTACATTTCGCATAAACATCTAGCTATAACATACCACTAATTAAATATTACAATAAGTCAATAATTACAACAACACCCGATATATATATCCAAAGTCACGATTCTCGCACTGGCAAATTGGCTACACATGTGGATATAGTGGATTGGATATAGATGATAGTGTATAAACCTGTGTATGCTTGGTTGTAATGATTTGCTTACAAAAATTATGGGGAAATGTTATTACCTATCTTGTTATCAGTTAGGTACATCATCATAAATAGGTAGTTTTTGGAAATAGCCATAGCCTTTATTACTAAAGCGATTTACCTAGCTATGTAATTATGTAAGTCAGTGTGGTGAAGTGAAGTGGCGCAACTAGACACTTGTTGCCTTGTTGGGCCCTAAAGTCAAATATAAAATGAGGCCTCTCCCCAATAATGTAAATAGTCTTGAACAGTCCGAGGTACATGGTACACCGCTTCCCCCCTCTCATAAAGTTAGGTCAATTTTCATCGTTAATAGGCTGATTAAGCTGGTCGTTTTTTTCGTCGTGTTTCTTGCATTTAGACCAATAAGCTAAAGAAAAAAATATATAATTCCAGGAGTCCAATTTTAATTTTGAATTACTTATTCTCTGTTCTAGGTTATGAAGGAAATGGGTTTCTTTTTTAGCAACACTAAAGTAAAAGTGAATTTCGAAAAAAAAGAAAATTAATTTTGAAAGATAACAATGATTAAATAATTAATACTTAATAATTAATAACATGTAAAGATACTTAAATATATTACCCAATAGCTACCATATAAAAGCCCAAAACCATACATGCCCCCTCCCAAAATGACGCCACTGCTGTAAACGCATTTTTTAGGGGTTGTGTTTAGCCAATTTTTTCGTTGTGGCTACAGCTTGTCATTTTGTGAGACTGTTAGTGTATATTGTGTATGTGTATTGTGTGAGTACCTAGTAATAGTCAATTATCATCCTATTGTGTGTACTGTGTAGGTACCGACAACAAATCAGAAACTCATGCACATAAACAAGTATTTTCAACAGTACCTACATCAAAATATTCAAAACTAAGTTATGAATGTAAAATACCTTTGCTCCTGATAAAAATGTAGGTATTTTTCTGGAGGAATCTAGTTTCAGGCGCGTATACAGAGGGAGGTTTTGGGAGTTTAACCCCCCCCCCCCCCGAATTTTCTTTTTGTGTACGCGCCTGCCTAGTTTGGTTTTTATAAAAGAATTTTAGTAATTTTGTTGTAGTTTGAATGTATTACTCGTAGATACTTGGAACTTTTATAACAGGACATAATTACATAATATATAATAACTAATGGCCAATGGGTATACCTACCTATTATTATATTTTCTAGACACAATGACATTTTCAAATGCAATGTTAAATAATCTTCTATCGAAATTACAGTTAAAATTACTTACTTATAACTAATAAAATAAATGACCTATAAGCAATAATATTCAATCGTATTCACTCAGAATCGTATTTCGTATACAATAATAATTCAAGATTCAACAATTATATTATTATAAAAATACAAAATAATGTTTACACAATTAAACAATTTTGATTTACCTACTTCTAATTCATATGTATACTCGTGATCAAATTTGGCATTGCTATCTACAATCAGTTTTGTGTAATGAATAATAAATTCGTTCCACACTTCTTCTTTTTGATTTTTAAATTTCCACAAATCCATTTTTGTACTACCAGTTATTTGTTTATTCAAAAATATGGATATACATCGTTTAACAAAATCAATCATTTTGAATGGTATCTGAGGTGTAAACAATTTTTCTATTTATTGTGTACATAAATCCATTAAGGTACTATTAAATTGAAACTTACATTGCCATTTGCATTGAAAATTTTTTTATTATTCTCAATCGCTTTTACAATAATCTTTAGTGTGCTTATTAAAGCTGTTGTAATATAATCTTCTACAAATGCATCCTTGTCTTCTTCAGATCGAATATAATGACATCTTGGAAACATCAAATTTGTCTCAGAATTATTGTAAGATTCCAAAGATTTTGCCAAACCATTCTGTATTTCAAAATATATATTTTAGCTTATTTGTAATTATCCAGCATACCTAGTATACAACTAGTTATGGACTATGTTATGTTGTTCAACTGTTCAACATACCTATATTACAAAGCTTATTAATTATCTACCTATGTATATTTAAAATAGTTGTGTCCAGTGCCGCAATTAGGAATCTTGGGGCCCAGGACAAAGTCAATGTATGGGGCCCTGAGGTCTAAGACTATGTATAAAATATTTTTTTATAGGTTACCTATACAAAAATGAATAATGATGGTGATTTTTTTTTATAAAGAATAAATATTTAATGCGAAGGCAAACCAGTTGGTGACCAATGACTATTTTCTTTTTTTAGATTCTGAGTGGAACGATGAATGTATTGATTTTACAATGACGTGTTTTTTTTAGATTCTGAGCGGAGCGATGAATGTATTGGTTTTACAATGATGTATGTTTTTATATTTTTATATTTTTATATTTTTATATTTTTATTTATATTTTTGTGTCTGTCATCACGTTTTAGGACAGTAAAAGTGCTTGGATTTTCTTCATCAGTAGCTTTTCTGATAGGAAAGTGAATCTAGTTGGTACTTTGGGGGGTCAAAAGTATAAATTTCCCAGTAGTTTTCACAAGCGCCGGGAAAAACAACATAAAAATTAAGGAAAAACGAGAATTTTTACGCAAAATTGGTTTTCCAAAAAATCGATTTTGGTTATTGGTGTAACTCTAAAACAAATGAACGTATATACATGAAATTTTCAGTGGTTGTTTATATTTGCATTTTCTATACACGATAACATTTTCATGTATTTTGATTTATTTTGAACTGTTTAGAGACATTTTCATTTTTCATTTTTTTTAGTTTTTTTTCTAAAAATATCAATAAAATTTTATTTATTGGTTGCGAAAGCTTGAAAATTTAATAGAAGGCTCCTAATATGTTGTTTCAAAGGCAGATGAAAAATATTAAAAATCCTTAGTCACAATTTTTTTTTATAAGCATTTAAAGTTCAAAAATTGACAAAATATGGAAAAATCACGAAAATTAGCAAATTATTTTGAGTTAAGAATTCGTAAAAATTTTTCTTTTTAAATCTAAGATTTGAAAATGAAACACAAGATTCCTTATAAGATTATCTACCTTTATAAATAAAAAAATCTCTACCGGACAGTCAAATTAAATTTTTATGAGCGTTTGAAATTCAAATTTTTACAACATTGGATTTTCACTCGATTTCTCATGTAGCGATTTCCTTATTTTGTTGTAATTCAAAAACGAATAACTTTTGACTCTTTTTGAGCCGTTTACGGACATTTTCAGTTTTCAATTTTTTTAGTTTTTTTTTTCTATAAATATTAATTAAGTTTTATCTGTTGGGCCAAAAAGTGTAAAAATTTAATACAAGGCTCCTGATATATTGTTACAATATCAGTTGAAAAATATTAAAAATACATAGGCACGATTTTTTTTTATAAGCATTTAAAGTTGGAATTTTGACAAAATTTATCAAAATCTCGAAAATTATCAATCGTTGGAATTAAAAAATTATAAAATGTTCAGTTTTTATAACTAAGAGTTGAAAATTTAAAACAAAGATTCTCTTAAATAATTCATACTGTAACCAAAAAATCTAAAAAATATATAAACACACTTATTTTTTACAGACATTTTAATTTCAAATTTAGACAAAATTTCATATTTAAACCAAGAATTACGATTTTAGTTATTTTGTTGTGATTGAATAATACTATTCGTGGGTACTTGAAACTTCTAAAGTGTACTATTATATATCTATGATAGTATCATGGTTTTTGTTGATGTATAACGCGTTATAAGTATCTAATGGATATTGTGATATGATTAATTTGGAATTTATTATAGGTACCTATTATAGGTCAATTTTTTGTTTAATACCATAGATATGTATATAATATGCCTTATACATAGACTGACATACCATCACCGCTCAGAATCGTTTTTCTTATACAATGATATTATATCATTGAATTCAAATTTAATACCATCCATTATACAGTGACCCACTTGTAACCTACTGTACAGCAGAGCGACACCCACTTGCCCACCTTTTTTTTTTTGTGTCTGTCATCACGTTTTAGGACAGTAAAAGTGCTTGGATTTTCTTCAACAGTAGCTTTTCTGATAGGAAAGTGAATCTAATTGGTACTTTGGGGAGTCAAAAGTAAAAAATTCCTAGTAGTTTTCAAAAGCGCAGTGAAAAACAAAAGAAAAATTAAGGAAAACTGGAATTTTTACGCAAAATTCAAGAAAATCGATTTAGGTTCTTGGTGTAACTTTAAAACAAATTACCGTAGATAAGTGAAATTTTCACTGGTTGTTTATATTTGCATTTTCTATACACGATAACATTTTCAAAATATTTTGATTTATTTTGAACTGTTTAGGGACATTTTCAGTTTCCAATTTTAATAGTTTTTTTTTATGAATATCAATAAAAATTTATTAGTTGATTAAAAAGCTTGAAAATTTAATAGAAGGCTCCTAGTATATTGTTTCAAAGGCAGATGAAAAATATTAAAAATCCTTAGTCACAATTTTTTTTTTTATAAGCATTTAAAGTTCAAAAATTGACAAAATATGGAAAAATCACGAAAATTAGCAAATTATTTTGAGTTAAGAATTCGTAAAAATTTTTCTTTTTAAATCTAAGATTTTAAAATGTAATACAAGATTACTTATAAGTTTGCCTACCTTTATCAATAAAAAATCTCTACCGGAAAGTCAAATTAAATTTTTATGAGCGTTTGAAATTCAAATTTTTACAATATTGAATATTCACTCGATTTCTTATGTAGGTAGCGATTTCCTTATTTTGTTGTAATTCAAAGACGAATAACTGTAGATACATAAACATTTCACTGAATGTTTATATTAGCCTTTCCTAAGCACCATAACATTTTGAAAATATTTTGACTTTTTTTGAGCTGTTTACGGATATTTTCAGTTTTCAATTTTTTTCTATAAATATCAATAAAGTTTTATCGGTTGGGCTAAAAAGTGTCAAATTTAATACAAGACTCCTGACATATTGTTACAATATCAGCTGAAAAATATTTAAAATACATAGGTAGAGTTTATTTTCATAGTCATTTGTTCAAATTTTTACGAAATTGCATAATAAAAAACCCGGGATACCTAACTATTTTAGTTATTTTGTTGTGATTGTTGTTATTATTCGTGGGTACTTGAAATTTCAAAAGTACACTATTATATATCTATGATAGCATAAATACGTTATAAATACCTAATGGATATTGTGATATGATAAATTTAGAATTTATTATAGGTACCTATAATAGGTCATTTTTTTTTAATACCACAGATAAGTATATAATATGCTTTATACCTAGACTGACATACCGTCTCCTCTCAGAATCGTTTTTCTTATACTATGATATTATATCATTGAATTCAAATTTAATACCATCCATTATACAGTGACCCACTTGTAACTTACTGTACCGCAGTCCGCAGATCACCTTTTTAGTCTTTAAATTACATAATATTTACATCTTATATTTTATAAAATTTACCTATTATCTATTCGTAACAATAGATAATGTTTAGTTTTGTATTTTTTTTAAAAAATCTTCATTATGTCTTTTAACAAAAATAGTACTGTAATGAGATATTTTTTGAATTTTATTAAAAATGATTTTTAATAATTTGTAACATTTAACAGCAATACAAAATTATTTGGCTTCCCTTAAAATGCAACCAATAAATTTTCCACATAGATCATCGATCATAAAATCCATTGTCTATGCCATCAACATTCATATCATACAAAGCCTAGACGGCTAGACTGATGTAAGTACTTTGTATAAAATAATAATTTTTACAAATAGTAGGATTAAAGTACTTAAAAAAACACTAAAAGGTTTGATTTGAGTATGGACACATATTTCATCGTGGATAACGGTAGTATAATTTTAAATTACCTATGTAAAATTGTAACTTAAATTTATTATATTAATAATTAAAATATATGCAATTAAAATTACCTATACATTAAATATATATAATTAGGTACCCACCATAAATTTGCCTTTGGAGTAGAGTGTAGGTTTGTTAATTCATTACAAATGAGATACTTACAATAAAAGCGTTTGAGTTTATTTTAAAAATAATATTTTATAAGACTTATTTAGATAATTTGTATTTATATGTATGTCACCTGTTTTATGAGTTCTAACTTCTAAGCGGTTGTAATTAGTTTAAACTTATTTATTTCCTATCATATTCCCCCGTTTTGTATTTATCTGTCACTGATACACTCAGTGTCGGTCTGGCGCATCCGGAGAATCGGCGATTCCGAGGGCCCTTGTATATATTTTATTATATGTATTGAAACCCTAGCCAAATGGGAAAGAAATAAAAAAAGTTTAGTGTACTCTTGATTAATTTCTTAATGGAATATTGTTCAATATGAACGGATATGGCATGTATAATGTATATAGGTGATTAGGATTTAGGACATTAGGTTAATAGGTAGGTACCTACTTTGGTACAAAACACGTGTCTTGTCATCTGACTGACAGAAGTCAATTCACTTAAAGTGGACCAATGAATCAACCTTTTTTTAGTGACGAAAATAAAATCCGATTTTTTATCTTTAAGAATATTCCACGATTGCACATTTTTCAAGCGTTCCACGGTGGCTTCATTTTGATCAATTGACGATATTATCGGAGGAGATTCCATCCAATTAACTATGTATGCTTGAAATATAAATTGTACATATACGACACAATATAAATTATTAGGATGAGGTATTCAATATTGTTCTTCGTATAGGTACGTGAATTTTATTAAAATATTTACGTGATGATTTTATATAGTACGAATAATTTATTGGTGGTTTATATGGATCTCGTTTTTCCACCCAACCGCGGTTCTTCAGCTCTAGAGAAATTTTTGGGAAATAACCTAATACCGAAAATATTTTTTGATCCTGCAAACAATCAAAATTATCTCAACGATGTATGTATATTGTATATTATTTAGGTACCTACGTTAATTATAAATTATAATTATAATTTATATTATTGAAATGCACATTATTTTATAATTTATAATATAATGTGTATTTTATAATATTAAATTTAGCAGTCATATTAAGCAGGTACAATTTCAATCAAATATATTTTAGATTCTGATTCGATTGAATTTCCCTACCAAGATGTGTGTTTTATTTATATTTATTTATTTTTTGTGTCTGTCTTAACCTTTAGAGCAGTAAAAATGCTTCAATATTCAATTTCAAAATCTTAGATATATGGCAGAAAAGTGAATATATTTGGATAGGGATCAAAAGTAAAAAAATTCTCTGTGGTTTTCAAAAGCGTAGAGAAAATAAAAAAAACAACAGGAAAAACGGTAATATTTACGAAAAACCAGTATTTGAAGTACTTAGTTGATTAAATTTTTTAGTGTAGCTAAAAAGAAAACCTAGATACTTCAAATTTTAATTTGTATAAAATATTCATATTCATATAAACATAATGTTCAATTTTTTATTAGTTTTTTCCAATAATTTTCGATAAATAATATTTTGCTCGGTGAATGAACTTAGTTGATATAATATTAGCTTAAAAATATTAAAGATACATAGGCATTTTTTTTATTATATACATTTAAAGTTCAAATTTGGACTAAAATCATCAAAATGTTCAAATTATTTTGTAGCTAAATTATTATAAAATGTTAAATTTTTTTTGCTAAGGTTGAGAAAATATAAAACAAGGTTTCTCATAAATACTTTATTCTGTAACCAAAAAATCTAAATAATATTATATAAACTCAGTTTTTTCATAGATACCTATTTGAAGTTAAAATTTGGATAAAATTAGATATTTAAACAAAGAATAACAATTTCAGTTATTTCGTTGTACCTAATATGAAAATATTATTCGTGGGTACTTGAAACTATTAAAGTACATACAACATACTTATACAGTTATACCTGTCCTGCCTATATTATTATATTTTATAATTTATACACACAAACACAATGCCATTTTCAAATGCAATGTTTTTGGAAAAAAATAATTCAACCTACTGTATTATTAATAGCAAAACAAATTACTTTAATATCAATTATATCATAAAAAAAACTTAGTATTAGTAATATAGGTTGACAATTGACAGGTTAGGTTTTACAGCTAGGTCTTCAGAATCGTTTTTCGTATACAATTATTTTATATCATTGTCCATTGAATTCAAATTTAATACATCCATTAAGCAGTGACCCACACAACACCCAGATAGATAGCCACTTACTAGCCTTTAAAAAAAAAATACTATCCTTCCTGTCTACTGTGTATTTTTATTAAAACGGTTATTTCTTTTATTAATACTTCAGTACCTTTACAGCTTGCAACGTTTGATTTGTGAAACTCGCCATAGATTCAATGCTTAATGTTGCGTTTAACGAATTGTCGTAATATAATAAATTATAGTTGCACTCTTTTATCAATGAAATATGAAGCTCTTGAATATAGTTTTTAAAATTAAGTGGGTATCTCGTGTTTATGCTGCTCTTTTTTGACAATTCTGTATTTTGGCATTCTTCTTTTAATTCCGGAATTCCATTAGAGTCGTCTTGTTTATAATTTGTGTTTGTGGTTAAACTTGGTTTTACTTTATTTATTAAGTCAGTATTTGAAATATAATTGTTTATGTTTTCAATAATTTCGACAGAATCGACTTTATTAGGCGTTTTAAGTGTATAGGATTTAGTTTGAAGTTTTTGGTTTACTAATTGTTTCTTATCGTTCCGAGGCGTCAATATCCTTCTTTTGCTGGTGTATTTATTAGAATTCATTATTTGTTTTTTTTTTTTTTGTTCGGACTGTGTTGATTAATAATTTGTGTTAATTTTTTGTAAATTTAGAAAATAGTTTAAAACGTGTTAAAAATATGTTCAGTTTTTAAATGAGTTTGCATTATTTTTTTTTTTTAATTTTTGTTTATAAATGGTTACTATTGATTTTAACAATAATTATTTTTTTTTTTTTTTTTTTTTTATTGTTACAGCATCAACATCATGGTTATTAGCTTACAATAATTAGATTATATAGTTATACATAGGGGGTTTTTACAATGATTATTAAAGAGAAAAGGGGGGAAAAGAATGATAATAAATATAAACAAAGATAGAAAAAAAAAAAAAAAGATAGAGTTAAATTAAGTTGTACATTTCAATTTTTTTTAAAAATGTGATAATTTTTTGTATGTCAGCATAGGGTCCTATGGCTTCATATAGATTGTCTGGTATTTCGCATTCTTTTCTGGCTTCCATGAATATTTGGCAGTGGATGAGGATGTGTTTGATTGTAAAGGAAGTGTTGCAAGAGCGGCATATTGGTGGTTCGGTCTTTTCCATTAGGTATCCATGAGTAACTCTCGTGTGACCAATTCTAAGTCGGTTCATAATGACATCTTCCTTTCGATTTGAAGAGTTGAGTTTTGGCCAAGGTTCGACTGACTGTTTGATTTCCCTTAATTTGTTTTCGGTAACTTGACGCCAATCTGAGTCCCATAATTGTATACAGTATTTGTCAACGTTCCTGATAATATCTACTGGCGACATAAGAGAAAGTTTTATGGAGTTGGGGTTACTTATAGCATTTCGGGCTGCTTTGTCTGCTTCTTCGTTTCCTTTGATATTGCAGTGACCCGGAGTCCATATAAAACGTATGTATTTATTCGATGAATTTACTATATTTTTTATCTTTATGACTAAGGGATTGATCTGAGAATTATATTTTATATTTGACAGAACACTGAGTGAGTCGGAACATATGTCGATTCTGTCATAGTTAGTATTAACAGCTGTTTGGACTCCTTTTAAAAGTGCTATGTATTCAGCTGTATAAATGCTGCTATGACTATTTAATTGGAATACTTGAGTGGAACTTTCATGTATAACAGCCAGACCTATGCCTGTGGACGTTTTAGATGCATCTGTATAGATTTGTGAATTATTATGGTTATCCGTATGAATTAGTTCATTAAATAAATTTCGATAGACTATTTCGGGTGTTTCTCTTTTTACATGGGCACTAAGACTGGTATCAATTTCGAAGTTGTGTACACTCCATGGAGGAGTGAGACAGGTTTCATATTGAAGGATTGTATCAGGGGAGATGTTGTTGTCGGACATTTCTTTGCAAAGTCTTGTACTTAGTGGTTTTCTGCGATTCGTGTTTAAATCATATACAGATGAAGATTGGTTTATGTTTAAATAATGGATAGTTGAATTATCAGGAGTCGACAAAATTCTGGTTATATATTTGAGTGATAGTCTTAGTCTGCGATATTTAAGTGGAGGCTCCCCAGTGATGGCTAATAAGCTGGAGATAGGGCTACTTCTGAAGGCTCCAGTTGCACATCTTATACCAGTGTTATGAATTGGGTCAAGAATTTTGGATATATTACAATTAGAGTTTCCATAGCAGATTGAGCCGTGATCAAGTTTTGATCTAACTAGTGATCTATATAAATTTAATAGAATGGAATACTCAGCACCCCACTCTAGATGACTAAGTGTTTTGATTACTCTTAGGTTTTTGTAGGCTGATTTTTTGGTTTTCAGAATGTGAGGTTTCCATGTTAATTTGGAGTCAAAGGTAAGGCCAAGAATAGTAATGTTTTCAGTAAAAGGTAGACAGATGGTATTCAAATAGATTTTGGGTTTGGTTATGTTCTTTTTGTTGGAAAAAAGGATACATTTTGTTTTGTGTGGAGAGAAAATAAAGCCTGAATTATGGCACCATTTTGACAGTTCATTGAGGCAGTTTTGTAGTACTCTAGTTATTGAAGGGATTGAATTTCCTCTAACGTAGATGTGTGTATCGTCAGCAAAGATAATTGATTTGATTGGTTTTGGTATGAAGTCAGGAAGATTGTTGATGGCGGTTTGAAATAAGAAAACACTGAGCGGAGATCCTTGAGGTACTCCATTTTCTAATACAAAGGTATTAGAGATGTAATCCCTGATTTTTAATTGAAAATTTCTTTGGCTTAGGAAGTTAGTTAAGTATCTTATCATATTACCGTGAATGTTCCAATTTTTTAACAGTTCGATCACTCTATAACGCCAAACAGTGTCGTAAGCTTTTTGTAAATCTAAGCTGATAAGAATCATTATTTGTTTATTAGCCAATGTTTCCAGTATTTCTGATTCTATTTTTACGTGGCAGTCGGTGGTGGAATGGTGCTTTCTGAATCCGTGTTGAAAGGGTGATAGAAGTTTATGTTTATTCGCAAACCAATATAATCTGTTGTATACTATTTTTTCTAATAGTTTGCTCATGCTGCACAGGACAGAAATTGGTCGGTAACCGGTTGGCTTAAATCTATCATTGTTTTTTTTGGGTATGGGGGTGATAATAGCATTTTTCCATTTGATTGGTAATATCCCTGAACGCCAGATCTGGTTGAATAGTTTAAGTAGTAGGAGGTTGCCACTTGGGGGTAAGTTTTGTAAAAAAATAAATGGGATTTTGTCCGAACCACAACTGTTGCTCTTTTTTCCTAGTAGACCTGTATTTAGTTCACATAATGTTATCGGTTCATTTAGAATGTCTCCTAAGCTTTGGTTCTCATATATGAAATAAGAATTATTAGTTTCTGTTTCTTGTTTATGTTTTAGGAAATCAGAATTTAAGTTGGCGTTGCTGCTATTTGAATAAAAGTGATGGCCAATTGATTGAGCTATTGTGTGGGGTTCGGTATGAGTTGTATTGTCTGTTATAATGGTTTTAATTTGTACCGATGGGATCCCTTTTATGATTTTGACTTTGTTCCAAATTCTTGTAGCTGATTCTTTTGAATTTAGTGTTGAAGTGAAATTTATCCATGATTTTTTTTTTTCATTTTTGATTAAAAATCTTACTTGTGCTTTGTTTTTTTTAAAATCAATAAAGTCCTGGATTTGTTTTGTGCGTTTATATTTGTTATACGATGTCTTCTTATTTCTTATAGCGTGTTTAATATCCTTATTCCACCAAGGGACCGGGGGTCGTTTTCCAGAGTAGCTATATTGTTCAAAGGTATTTGAGGCTGTATCATAAATTAGTTTACTAAATTGTTCAATGTTTTCATCAATAGTATTTTCATTAGGAAAAGATGAATTTCTTAGATTTTTTTCGATTTCCGTTTGGAAGATGTTCCAATCAGCATTGGATAATTTCCATTTAGGGTTACGAGTGTGTATTTCATAAGGGTTGGTATAACATAACGTTATTTTTATTGGAAAGTGATCACTACTAGAAAGCTCAGGAATGATGTCCCATTCTAAATTGGGTGATATTGTTGCGGAGGAGAAGGTTAGATCAATCGCGGAAAGGTTGCCATTACTAGAGTTAACTCTAGTTGCTTGGCCATTGTTGAGAATGTTGATGTTATTGGTATTAAGTATAGTTTCGATTTTGGTACCTCTATGGTCGGTGACATTACAGCCCCACAGAGTGTTGTGGCTATTGAAGTCACCAAGAATGATAAATGGGGTGGGTAGTTGATCAATAATATTTTGGATATCAGAAGCGTTGAAGTCTTGAGAGTTTGGTAAGTAAATATTGCAAATGGTTAAATTGCTTTTGGCTGTCATGTTTACAGCTATTACCTCAAGATGTGAGGATATGGTAATTTCTTCCGAAGGAAAAATATTGTTTATAAAAATGGCCACTCCACCGCTGGCTCTGCCTGCGTGATTTCTATTTTTAATATAACTAGAATAGTTATTTAAATGAATTGATTTGTGGTTGTTGAAATTTGTTTCTTGGATGCATAGTGCTGTTGGAGAGAATTTGTTGACTAATAGTTTAATTTCATCGATTTTTGAATAGAATCCATTAGGATTCCATTGAATGATGTGGAATTTGTTTAAGTTTATGTTCTGCATAATGATTAAAAATAAGGTTTTTTTTTTTTTTTTTTTTTTTTTTTTATACGTTGATTTTTGGTTGGTTTGGAATTATTCTGTGGAAACAGGATCTCCGGATACAGTTGAGTCTAATATTATTTGGTATAATTTTGAAATCCTGTTTTTAAAAGCTGTATTCTTGATTTTCGGGCGGATAGTGTCAATGATTACAATCATTTCCATGGCTGATAAGTTAAAGGGTTGTATGATACTCATAGGGTTGGGTACACCTATTGTGTTTTCGATGATAAATTTTAGTTGAGTAAAGTTTATTTTTAAATTTGGTATTGTTTCAAATGCGATTTTTGCTGGTTCAAGGGTTTGATCCAGCTTTAATATGATCTGTTCCAATGAATTTGATCTTTTTTGTTTTTTTAATTGTGGTTGGGGAGTTTTCGCGGAATCTAGTAGCTTGTCTGACAGAGTTACCTTCTTTGGTTGTTGAATTTGCGTGTTGATTTGAGATGAAGAGCTATTAATTTGGTTATTAACGTTTGATGGATTAATAGAGGGGGAGGTGCTGGAGGTGGATGAGGCTGGCCTTTTTGGTGTCTGTGATGGGGTTTGAGTGGGGGGAGGGTTTTTGGATGCTTGTTCGACAATGTTTTCGATGTTGGTTTTTATGTTTTTGTCCCCACTATTTGTACTTAGATCGATTAGAACATTATTATCTGTTTCCGTATGGTTGATGATAGGATTCGAGTTGTTGTGGAGGGTTGTGTGAAATTCGCTGTTTGAATTTGAGTCAATTAGCATACTATTATCTGCGTCTGTGTTATTGGAGACATGATTAGGGTTTTCGACGAAAATGGTTTGGGATTTATTTATAATTTCTTTTTTGCAATAATTAGAAGTGTGGCCGGTTTGTTTACAGAGATAACATATCACTGTATCAT